GGAATGCTGTATGTATGTATATTATGTATGTATATATCTTTAACTAGTCAAGAAATGGATCACATCTTGATCCCCAAAAACATTTATTTATTGACTAATTCACGTGCATTCACCTTCCTCTTTTTTCACCCACTTTGCCATGTGAATTCTAAAACACACCTTACACTTACAATCAACTTATATACATATACATATACATACACACCTACACACACACACACACACACACACATATATGGGAAGGTAACATTTACCCTTTCCCACTTTTAAGTGTTGTAACTTTTAAGAGTTGTAATTAGGGATCTTAATAAGTTTGAAATCATATGGGACTAAGTACTAGTTTAAAGATGAAGTTCTAACTTAAATATTGAATTGAAACGGACCTATTTTAAAAAATAATTAATAATTAACAAAATGAAAATGAAAAATTAGTTTTAAAAATTTAAAGGGAAATTAAAACAGATTTGAAAATAATCTTTGTCAAGCTCCTCTAAAAGAATTTATAAATTTCTTGTTTTTTTTTTTAATTTTTGGAAAGTAAGTACATATATAAAGGAGTATATGTATAATCTATGAATTACATTTTTTATGCTAATTATAAAAATATGGGTAAATTAATATATTTTACTTAATGATTTATATATTTATATATCAAGCTTATGTAATTTTTTATATCATAGTGAAGGTGTGACCCAAAAACTTAGTCAATGTCATCTAGTGGTGCACTAAGGACAACCATTATTTTTTTCAAATACTAAAATCTACGATTTAATGATTAGAAAATTTCTTTTTTAAAAAAATATAAAAAAGTGATCGTTTTGAACTTTTAGGTAAAGTAAATATTGTCAAAATTTATGACCGAATAATTATATATATAGTTTCTAACACCATGATGATCAAATTGAAATAATTTCATATAAAAAATAAAAGTTTTTAAGATTTCGAGTGGATTCACAAGATCGGAAAAGAAGTCAGGAGAGAATTCATTATTAGTTACGCTGGTCTAATTTTTATATGTACAAAATTAATAATGAAATATATTTTTAAGATTATTTTTTAAGATAAGATTTCAAATATTTTAATTCATAATGTTGATTAAACAAGTATCGGATCTCCTTAATGATTCACAATTATTGGTTTTCAAAAATTTATAGGTAAAGTACTTTTAAAAAAAATAGTGATTTTAGATTATATTAGACGAGGTATAAGTCTAGTTATAATTTGTAAAATTTTTTTATAATTAGAGATATGCTAAATTGGGAGCTTAAATAGAGAATTGGCAACTTTCAATGAATTATTATTTGGACTTAAGTAACCAACTTTAATCTCTGAAGCTACCACCTCATTTTTTTTATTCTTGTATCAAATTTTGTTCTTTTATATATTCTTATTTGATTAACGTCTTATTCATCAGTTTTGAAATAACTCTAAATATTAAGTATTCGTTAAGAAAGAATACTTTCTCTAAACATATTAGTGTGAACTTTAAATTAAAGGCAATCAATGTTATTTTAAGTTTGGTTAATACGTAGTTTGGGTTCAAAATAAAATTTACAGATCATCATTTTTAGAAATAAAAAATCAATTTAATTAGAAAATGGTATGACACTCTTCAATTTATAGTTAAAGACTTTGTACAATGACTCTTTACGGATATTGTCCTTATATAAGATGAAATTTAAACATAAAGGCCTACAAAATGGTCATTTTTGTCCAATATATAGAGATCATAAGGAGTTTGTTGTTTATCTTTTCAGACGATATTCACGTGCTCTTAAGATACAAAAACTAGGCTTCATTCGACTTTTATCCCCCAATTTGCAAGAACGTTTGTTTTATCAGTTATATGAATCATGTTTAAATTTAAACCATGGAGGTCAAAAAGATTGGATAACGATAAAAATATGGAGCACATGAGACCTAGGTAAGAAATGATCGAGTTCACTAGAAAAATAATTGAACCAATTCATTTGGTTTTATATGTATATTACAAGCTAGAGAAATTAGAGATGATTGATAATTTATAAGGTGGTAATGAATAATATTGCTTTTAAGTTATTTTTTTGAGTATTTTCGAAATAATATTACAAATCAGTTAGTACAATATATGATTTGAAATGATATATATAGTGGGACCATTTTCGTGAGTATAAAAAAAATACTCTCTAAAATTGATTACAACATTAGTAAACATGGGACTCTAAATCTTCGAATGGAAGTTATAATATATATAGATTTAATCAGACTCTTATATCGAGGGAGATTAACAAAATTCTAATTTTTAAAAAATTACCTTGTTCTCTGCCTTTTTTATGCATGATAATTGTTCAAAATATATTTTTTTAAAAAATAAATTATGAATAATTTTTATATACAAAATAGTTAAAGTTTAAAAATTAAATGAAAAGATAACAGTTTTGAATCAAACCCAACAAATGAATTACCAAAAACATTTAATTTGAAATTAAAATAATAATTTACCTTATAATAATTTACATAAAAAGCAATTTTATATATTTTCCATGTGTACATATATGTGTGTATATATATATAGGCTTCTCATGTGCAGTTCTTCTCCTAGCTTGAGTGCTATGGCCCAAGGACAGTTGTAAACAAAATGCATGAATATGAATTGTCCAGAAAAACAAATGAAAAAAGCTTTTAGGCTCAATAAATGTAAAATAATTCTCATCTCAATTATGTCTTTTTCTTTTTTTATAAAATGTTTGGAGGATTCAAGAATTCAATTATTTGTGCATCATAATGATCATAAAAACTTCATACATATATATATATATTATACACACACACACACACACACACACATATATATATATATATTAGCCAGATACATAGAGTGATTATTTTATTGTCATATATATATATATATTAGCATATACATTCAACTACATTGTTCATTATGCTAATTTGTCATAATTTCATAGACATAAAATAAACACCGTTTAATTTTCTTTTCCTAATAATGAAATAAATTAGTTTTTTTTTTCTTTTAAAAAAAATATCCTTGATTTAGGGGAAAAAATTTGGTGGGGTTCTCATATTTATGTATATATGCAAGTGGTTTAATGTGGGTCCATGTGATATTACTCTTATATATCAGCATTCAAATGAGATTTTTGAAACCACTTTCGATATGTGACGAATTTAGGATCATAGGTTATAAGAGTCGGTATTGGGTTTATATATGGTAAAGATCTACCTAAATTCGTCTTATTGTTATTCTTAAATTAAAAAAAAAAAAAAATTTGTTATCATTTCAATCAGATAGTCAGTATTTTTATTATATTTTATATAAATAAATTTAAAATTTAAATAATGCATATTTTTTATTTATTAAAAAATAAAAATCTAAAAGAAAAGTAAGAGAAAATTTGGTCGTTTATTATTTTAATTGAAAATTTGAATTTAATTACATGAAAAATGAAATTTTGAAATGAACAAATTAATATAAAATGGTGATCCCCACCATTCAGAAATTTGCATGTGATATCATGTGATTGTTGTACCAATGAAATTCTTTTATTATGAGACAAATTTTTTAAAAAATATATTTTTTTTTCTTTGGATAAAATGGATAAGCTATGAAATTTTATACGTACAACATAGAAAAATATGCATAAATTGATTGAAGATTTTGATGAAATTCATATTTTATTTTTTTTAATCTCAAGTTTTTTCTTACATAAAAAGATATATCTTAAATATTTGAATTCTTTATTTTTTTTTAAAAAAGAGATTAAAGAGTACGTTATTAGACTAAATCTAATTATGTTAATCTATCTTTAATGTTACATTCCAAGTTAATTTCAAATAAATTTTGTATTAATTTAAAATTTATTTCAAACTATTCATAAATTTAAGAATAAATCATTAAGTTAATTTTTAACGTCTGATACTTATTATAATTTAATTTTAAATATTTTTTTTTTGTTACAGTTTGATTTATAATTTTTTTATTTGATTCGAATGTTCGGTAACAAAAAAAAGAGTTAAAGTGATTAAATTATGTTTGTATATTTAAAAAACTAACTTAAAAATAATTTTAATTAATTAATTAAATAAATTAATAATTTAATAAGAATAAAAATATGCATAATATAATTTAAGACAAGAAAGTTTACAAAGGTCTACTTGACAGGAAGACAAAAATCTTTCAAATTATTATTATTTATAAATTATTAATAATTTTTTTTAAAATCTTTAATTTGAAAACTTGTCATCAAGGTTCATGATAAGATCAGATGGTTTATAAGACGCCACGTGGCAGAATCTAATCAGTAGATTTGAATGAGATCTTAAGCAATTAATTAAAATTTTGATGGATGAACATGGGATTGTGTTGTCTGAATTTGGACATGATTGAAAATCTTCACATGCTGGATCTCAAGAATTATAATTATTTTTACAGTAACAATGAAAATCTTAAGCTATGAAACATTTTACAGTAACTATGGTCAATTATTTTTTTAAATTTTGTCTACAAAAAATTTAGCATGTAGTTTCTAGTTGAATTATCTTTACCCTTTTAATTTTTTCTAGAGACTGTCGAAGAATTTAACCTTCAAATAGTCGAGATTATGTCTAAAAGACAATCCGAGGAGGACCCATGAGTAGAGGCATTCAAATTCCAGTTCAAAACAGAGAAGCAGATCGAACTAAATCGAATCAGAAACATTATTTGGTCTGGTCCTTGATCCAGATTTCCCATCCTTAATCTGTCCTCGATCCAGCCTGGTCCGACAGACATCTCCGTAGATAATTTTAGCATCTGGTGGAGTTCTAGAATTCAGAATAAAACTCAAAACCTTAAACAAAAATAATTCAATATCTTTTAAGTTCCGAAAACACAGAAAAATAAATCTTCCCCTTCACTCCATTCATTCCCTAAATCTCTTCACTTCAGAAAACTACATCCTCACTTTCAAGTATTCGAGTTTTGGCACGAATTGGTGATACAAATGGATTAAGCAAAAATGTCCCCTGAAAAAAATGATTCTTCACCATTGACACAAGTTCCAGATGGGATTTGAAGCTGCTGGTAGTTAAGCTGTCTAGCAGCTTCGTATAAAGCAATACCGACACTTACTGAGAGATTTAGACATCTGACGTACGTTTCAACCATTGGAATACGAATTGTCCCACCACCAAATGTTTCACTCTTGCAATCTAGCAGTGCCTCGGGAGGGAGACCACTTGTTTCTGAGCCAAAAACAAGGTAATCACCTTTTTGGTAGGAGAAATCCTGTAGAAATAGAATATAATTAGCAGTGTGGATGATACTAATATTGGTGAGTAAATGACAACAAAAGGTATCTTCTTGTTTTCTTCTAAGGGTGACAACATATTTTGAAATTGGGAACGAGGCTTCCAAATAATAAGTAGATCGAAACAACTGATCAGGAGAACAAAACAGTCAAAATTTAAAATTTTCTTTCTAAAAAACTTTTTTTTTTTCTTCTGAGGGTGAAGATATATCATGAAATAGGCAAGAAGGTTTCCTTGAAATAAGGAAGAAGGTTTCCTAGAGTTTCCAAATGATAAGTAGATTGAAACAATTGTCTGGAGAATGAAACAGTAAAAAATTTCCAACCTTTGATAACATATCTTCTTTTTTTCATCTAATGGTGGAAACGTATCTTGAAATGGGCAACGAGATTTCCTGAAGCTTCCAAATGATAACTAGATTGAAACAATTGATCCGGAGAACGAAACAGTCAAAATTTTCTACCTTAAGGACATATCACTTTTTGTCTTCTGAAGGTGAAAATATATCTTGAAATAGGCAAGAAGGTCTCCTAAAGCTTCCAAACGATAAGTAAATCGGAACAATTTAAGAACATATCTTTTTTTTTTCTTCTGAGGGTGAAAACATATTTAGAAATATGCAAGAAAATTTCCTATACTTCCAAATGGTAAGTAGATCAAAACAATTGATCAGGAGGGTGAAACCGTCAAAATTTCTACCTTAAGAACATGACATTCTTAAAATTTTCACAAGTGATTTCTCCTAGCAGTCATATATAATATCACCCATATATTTGCCAAAAGTATCATCTGTCCTCTCTTTTTCTTCAAAACAATTTTGTGGTAAACGATATGAACATTAATCAAAAGGCAACGAATAGTGGTTTAGCTTTCATCAGATTGCTTGTTATTCATTTATCTGAGATAAGATTTTACTTCAATTATGTTACAGAACTGAAATCTATTATCAGGAACATATCTGAAGAACATGAGAAATAAGCAAAGGATGGGGAACGTACTGAATGTATCGCCGTTCCTCTTTTGGTGAAAGCTAGCAATCGCTTTTCTCCTTCCTGCATGCAAGGACCAAAAACATGCAATCAAATTAAGATAAAAACAAAAGCAGGTGTCCGAAACTCTAGCAGAGATGACAAGAACCTGCTGCCTGAAATAGTCTCGAAACTCTCCCCATGAGCTGTGCACTTTGACAACCACATACCTGTTCTGAATGTTAATTTTTCACAGGAAATATTCCAAATTTCATGCATCCAATTAAAGAGTAAAAAGTAATTGATGACATGAAATTAGATGATTGGGTAAAAATATTGAGATTTTCCCCAAACCATGTAATTGAGATTGTTTATTTAATTATTCGATTTTCTTTTTTAAATGGCTGCTCAGGGAAGTTTGTTGAATATAGTGTGAAGCATAACTTTATTTGAAAAAAAAATAGTGCGAAGCATAACAAACAAGCATGAACTATGACGAACATTACTGCAGACAATAAAAAGGAAGGAACCACATAAAGGCTCCAAAGGCTCGCACGTAATTCTGAACTGCTTGATGAACTAGATTTAGATTTTCAAAAGCACGGCAAAGGGTGTTTTTAACATCTAAATCTGATTTTATATCTATAAAGAAAAGAATAGACTTTATCTTGGAACTAAAGAAGAGAAAAAATAAGAACAAAACTCAAGGGAGAGGAGAAGAAAATTAAATATTTGTATGAATTTTCTGATTTGTATTTTTTAACCAACTGGTCAGCCTTTAAATAAGCAAATTATATAAAAAATTTAGTTATAAATCCTTACTTGTTGTCATTTTAGATGATAATTACAATCCCTATAGATGAAGTTCATCACTTATTATTTTTTTAAATGATAGAGAAAATTTTTATAAATGAGATTCATCACTTATCAGCTTTTTAGATAATACATAATTTAAATTAACTAAAATTCTAATAAAAAATAAAAATTAAATTTATTTAACACTTTAAACATGACAGAAGGAGCAGCGACTGATATAAATGAATTGAAAACTCATAGATATAACTTAGATGCTTGGATACGGCCAATAGTCTAACCCAGCACGCTTCAATTTTGTATCATCCACTTGAAATCCTAATGGCTGAAGAAGGCAAACAAACATGTTAGTTGATTACATTTCGAAAGATGCTCAACATAACAAGGATAGAAGGGAAAACAAGGAAAAGAAAGTATTTGCGTGCGCATGTAAATGGTAACTTAATGAAAGATTGACTCAAACTAAAACTGGCAATATCAACCCCAACAAGATGTAGCCCAACAGCTGATGCTGCACATGTTCTTGCAATGCAACCTGTGTTTCCAGGAATCTGCCAAGGACAACAGAAATCTCAGAGCCAGCCTCGAGAAATTGAGGTTGTCTGCAACCCACAAAAAACCATAGATGCATTATGATTTAAAAGAGGCAAAATAACATTCTATTGAAGCATAAACTAAGAACAAGGACATTATGAAACTCTAAGCAAAAACCCGATCAATAAATCAGATTTGAGAAAAGCTTGTCAGCAAGTAATAAAATATTATACAGAATACACTTCTAAGGAGAGGACTAAGTCAATCACGCCCATTAAGAAAACTAAAAGACTTATTTTAGAAAAAAAAAAAAAAAAAAAAACTAAAAGGCATTGGGAGAAAGAACACCAAAATGTTCAACCAATTAGATAATAATGCCAACCATTTTCCTTGCTATGTCCCTTCAATTTTTAATTTATTCTCACATCTTATGGATGATTGCCGCACGACATCCTTATATGCATATCTCTAAAGAACACATAGTTACAACCACTTTTTAGACTATAATTAACAAAATAAGCCTATTCTCATCAAGCTTAAATTTTTAAAACAGTGGCAGCACAACCAATTTAACATAGTATCAGAAATGACCAAAATTAGGCCTTTCTGCAAAACCTGTCAAAAACTTTGTTTAGTTTGCACCATTAAGTTTATGTTCAAAAGCTAAGCTTCTTCTCCAGTTGCACATGGATAGACGTGTTATACTGTGAATGATACCATTATTTTAGATAAAGTTTAAGCTCTTGTAACCTGACAAACTAGTTTACAACACGATTTGTCAACTGTGTAATTAAAGTTCTACGAGTGGCCCTCAAAAGATTTACTGGATATAATTGGAGAGAATGAAACACAAAAGCTGCCATATTTCTCAATTTTTTAATATTCCTATCTTCCATACATCTGACATTCTGACCACCTATGAATCATTTTGAAAGACTTCTGCTGCATTAGAAGTTCGTTATTTCCTCTGCATGTTATTTGATAAACAATGTATTATCAAAAACTCAAGATATCCCTATCTTAGTATGTATGACATTCTTACCACTCACCAATCATTTTCATGCTACATTACCAGTTCAAATCGCTCTTTTCTTTATCATGTTGAGGCAAAAGAGAATTCCTTAAGAGATTTTTCCTTGGAAAAAAACTTGGAGAATCGGACATCAGTGTCACAATATAGATCTAACTATATGAATTTCTAACTTATATGCTGCAGAGGCTTGTCAGTCTCAATTCCAAGAACTCAGGGCGCTATCTACAGATTACTTCTTCCTCCAAATTCAACAGCTCTATGAACAAAACAACGACAGCCTTCCATTTCAATCATGGCAATCACAAGTTTTCCCATAGATTCCTACCCAAAATTGCGAAATCAACCCGAGAATCTTTCTAACAAAAAGGACTTGACTTTCCACATACTATAAAAATTGACATGTAAAACACATCACCTAGTATCTTTTCAACAAACACAAGCAATCCATAACAGAACACCAAAGCTAGATAGCATGTATCTGAAAAAAAAAAAGAAAAAACCCATCTCTAAATTCTTTAAAACTAAGCACGTAAAATTACAAAAACGAAGAGACTTAGTGGAAATTGTATAAAATTGGAGTAGCAATAAGAAGCACCAAAATCTCTATTCAATTAACCAAAGCAATTGGAAAAACAATGGTAAGAAAGCCAGCATGTATTAGAAAAAGAACAAAAAAAAAAAAAAAACATCTTTAATTCTTTCAAGCTAAGCTAATAACATTCCAAACAAATACTGGTAAAATGGAATTTGTGTAAGGAGATATACTTGAGGAGAAACTAAAACCACTTGAAATAGCTTATTCCGAGAAACTTCTTTAACAGCTTCACCAGCTCCTTGCGGCAATGAACTCCCACTTCCTCCCTCCTCACCTACACCAACAAAAATATTTCACACACTTCAACGACATAGAGTTTCAACGTCTATATACTGTAAATGGGTATATAAGCAAATAATCAGAGAGAGAGAAAGGAAGAGTTACGGAAAGAGCAGAGGGCAAAGAAGCGTTGAAAAGAAAGGGAAGAACAAGAAGGGAACTTGGTCTTGAGTTGGGAAATGTTTAAAGGACGAAAAAGATAAGGCCTTGAACGGAAATTAAAAGATGGTGCTAAAGTTAGGGCGTTTAGGGTTCTCAAGCTGCTATTTGTCTCCATTGAGACCTCACTCAGCTACTGTAACTTCTATCTTCGTCTCTCTATAGAGGAGCAGAGGAAAGGAGAACAGGAGATTATGGATCAAAACTCTAAAAGGGCTTAGTTGTAATTTAATGTTCTTATTGTGGCCATATCATAATTTTAGAAAATATTAGTGGTAAACATATAAATTTAGAAAATCTAAGTAATCTCTATATAAAACTAAGGGGCGACCCTTCCGGCCCACACCAACCCAAACACAAGGCTTCTCTATCTAATCTCTGGCGCCAGAGACGTTCTCTCTCTCTCTCTCTCTCTCTCTCTCTCTTCTTAGATTTAGATCGCTTTACTGCTCAACGTGATAAATCTCCGTCTCGTTTTTCGCGATCAGGTTCATCAATCGGAGGGAAAATCGACTACTCTTATTCTCTTGATCTTTGATCGAGCAACGGGTTCAGGTACATGTTTTGTGAATTTCTAGGGATTTTTTAGTTAGGGTTTCGCGGTGGAATCATATGTATATGTATATGTTTATGTTCTTGTTTTAGATTTGGGCTTTGGATATGTTCGGAGTTCGTAAAGAAGGATTAGTTTTTGATTCTCGATGTTTTGTGTGTTTTTATATCTGAGGGGAAGGTATAATTAGTTTATATATTGATCACGTGAGAAATCAGAATCGGAAATACTTGGTGTTAAATTGAGGATCAGTTTATAATGCCGGAATTTTTTTGTTTGTGCGTCACTGGATTGAACTAGGGATCCATAAGTGTTGCTCGAGTGTTTAAACAGGTTTTGGTTGTAAATATTTTACGAATATGTGTAATTATTGCGGGCGTTCAGGAAGAAAATGAAAATTTTGATATTAACATGAAGAGTGAAGAATATCAGATGAATATTTCAGAGAAGGTGTAAATTTGAACTTATAAGTTCTGTTCATTTAAATGCTGTCTGATTGAATCAGATTTTATGATTGTGGACTAGATTTTTAGGCTGATGGTGGATAATATAATTTTATACTTCTAGCTTCTTCTTTGTTTCTCCACTATAAAAGGTATAGGCAACCTATTACATTTTTCTTTTTGGGACTTTGGACATTGTTGCATGTCTGCATTATTAATCTTTTTTTTTTATTTTTTTTTTTCCAAATCTTGGTGCTGTTCATTTTTTTTTCTTGTACCCTCGAAATAAACAGTAGGGTTACAGCATCTCCTTCTTCTTTGATGTTTAATTGTTTTTAATCTATAGAGAAAAGAAAAGAGAAATTTGGCTATTGGTTCTGAATTAGGATATCTAACTTCAGAGAAATTAAGGTGTAGGTGTTTACTGAACAACAAATTTGATGCATGCTCAGTTTAAAGCACAAGTCTACTTAGCCCTTTTTCTAGGTTCTTTGTTTTGTCAAATTTTATAAATAGGGTTACAATTATTTATACTTATGAATATTAGACCTAAATCCTCACTTCATCATCTAAATAGCTTGGAAAGCTTGTTTCTCAAACAGTGACATCCACTAAACAGCTTAAGTTCTCTGGGTTCTTTGCCAATGGATAAAGGAGCGCCTTCTAGTCTTTTCGTTAATGATGGCTCATTCATGGAGAGGTTTAAACAGCTTCAACAAGAGAAGGGGAAGGATAAGGAGAAGGAGAAGGAGAAGGGTGGTGCTTTAGAGGATTCTAAACCCAAAATTATATCTGGGGCTTCAACTCCTAAGCTTTTTGTTAGTAAAATGACAGTGGAACCTAAGGTTAATGATAAACGGAAGACAACACCGGTTTCTTCAGGTGGAAAACTTGCATTCAGCTTGAAACAGAAGTCAAAGCTCGTGGTGCCTCCTGTTAAATTGGGTATAGATGAGGATGAAGATGAGATGGATTCCAACAATGTCCCTAGTGATGCACCGGCAAAACGACAGAAGTTGGGCCAACACGATGCCTCTGGGCAATCTTCAAGACAAACAGACATTGGTAATTACTGTTTATTAATAATCTTTTTATTTGGATGGACAACAGACGAAGGTCTTTATTTATCTTTTGGTCTTTAGGCTAAAAAATATAAACAGGAAGGAGTTACAAGTTAATTTATCTTCAATATGATAATAGTTTTTGTCGCTGCACTAGTCTCATTTATGTTCTGGTGAGAACTGTTTGCTTTTCCATGTTTTGACCATTTTGATTTCTTAACTATCGGAGTTGTCATAAGTAGCTCATGGCTGAGAACGGTTTTCCAGTATCCTAAACTATTATACCTAGCTTGTTTTAGAAGTGGCCCTCTAGAAAAATTTCCTTCATGTCCTTGTCTTTTCAGTCCTGGTGTTAATCTCTTAATGCACTTACTGTTTCCAATAAGAATCATTTGAATAGTTGTGTAAAATTGAATTCTCACCCTTCCTTAAGTAAGCTGTTATTGAGGAAAAAATCTGGGTGTATGTCTTCTGTGATCTTGAGCTGGTGGATGGAGGACAAAACATTCTTGAATATTTCTTGTCTCCTGAATGCAGCTTATACCTTAAGTACCAATCAAGATTGGTGGAAAGAGATGTTCAATGAAAGATTTGGAATATGTGGCAGGCCTGCTACAAGAGTAATTTGCATTCCCTTGTTCATGCTCTCGGTATTAATCAGTTTTATAAGTGATATGCAGCACCACCTTCCCCAAGTGATCCTACAGTGAAGAAAGTTGCAGACAAACTTGCAAGTTTTGTTGCTAAAAATGGAAGACAATTTGAGAATGTTACGCGGCAGAAGAATCCCGGGGACACACCCTTCAAGTATGTTGTTTGCTACTTTATCATTGATATTTGAGCCTATTTTAGTCCCTTTGTCGTTTCCAATCTACTCCATCAAAATATGATTTCTTTCACTGGGAAGGAAAGGTCTTTTATGATGTCACTTTTGTGTTATTTGCAGATTTCTTTTTGATGAGAGCTGTGCTGACTTCAAATACTACGAATATAGGCTTGCTGAAGAGGAAAAAGCCCTTTCACAGGCCAAGGAATCTCAAACCCCGCATAATGGTTTGTATTTCCTACTTTAGTGATATATATATGTACATTTATTTCCATGCATTATTAGTTGTTATCCTAGTTACGTGTACTTTGTTCTCTTTAGAAGTTAACATGAGATTTATAATATAATTTTCTGTTAGAGTTGCTGACTTCACTGAAAGTTTATGTCAGTTTTTCTTTTCTTTCCAGGTTCTTGTAAGTATCTAAATTAAAATTAAATGCTAGGATCTCCATAGAACATTTACCTGGGATGTTATAGTCCTGGACCCACTTGATAATCAATATGCCTTTATTCAAAAGGGAAAATGAATGTTGTTGGAGAAAATTACTGTTTGGTTTTCTCTTTCTGCTTATTCTGTTTGACACTGGCTATTGTGGGAAGGTTTTTCATTTCATCTGCGTTAATGTTGTACAATCAGGTTCTTGACATGATCTTTCTTTGCAGGTTCTGCTACTATCTCTGGTGCTAAGTCCTCAAGTGGCTCACAAAGGCCAGTTCAGCAACATTCAAGTGGCTCCCAAAGGCCAGTTCAGCAGCACTCAAGTGGCTCGCAAAGGTCAGTTCAGCAGCACTCCAGTTACCAAATACCTGCATCAGCTCTGTATGAGATCTCTGAGGAGCCTGGAGCTTCTGTATGGTCAGGTCAAGAAACATCAGTTGGTAGAAATAGCAATGGTATGTTGTATCTTTATTTCTTATGTCATATTTTTTACCTTTTAATGAGTTTGATTGCTCTTTACAAATAATTTGTATGTTGTATACTAGAGGGACATAAATGCTTTTAATTCGTTGCACTTCTGTCAGAAACTGTTTGATTGCTGCCTTTTAGATGATCTAATGTGTTATTTTTGGAGATACAACGGTCTATTTGCATCATGAGAATTGGCTGAATATACTGTTTTTTAATCGAATAGAATTAGTCTTCTTTGCAGGAGTCCACACACAAGCAAACACAGGAACATCGTTTGTGTCATATGCAAAGTTCAATTTAATGTACCAAGGATGGTTGTAAGGCTTAAGTTAAGAGTAACTTCCATTGACAATATGGGGTATCTTTTGTAATATAAGAAAATTAAGTTTGGACCCTTCATCTTGGGGTTTGGACCTAAAAATGCTTACGCGTGTGATCTCAGTGTGAGCTATCCGTTGCGAGTATTTATGTTGACTTTTTATTACCACAGATCCAGCCTCATTTAACCCACATGACCAATAAATCTTTTTTAATATATTACAAATTTCCACATGTAATTGTTTGTTTGACGCATGTGCATCTTACTTACAGTAAGTTCAAGAAATGTTACTGAATCTTACGTTTGATGTGAATCTTGGTTGGGCAAAAGGAAGATTTTCTATTGTGGTTAGAGTTTTAGATTTCAACGACAATGCTTAAATGATCGAGCATTTACTTACTGGTGCAATATATGTGTTTCCAAATTCTAGGTGATGGTAGTGCACCAACAGGTGCAGATCCTTTAGCAATGATGGAATTTTACATGAAGAAGGCTGCTCGAGAAGAGAGAATGAGACAGCCTAAACAATCAAAAGATGAGATGCCACCGCCAGCTTCACTTCAAGGTTTATATCTGTTTGATCAATTCAAAAACAAACTTTGTGTAAGGTTGTAGTATTCACTGTGATGGTTTATCTTATGATGATGTGAATGCTTGGCCAGGTTCTGGAAAAAGGGGCCACCACATGGGTGACTACATCCCACCAGAAGAGCTTGAGAAATTCTTAGCAAGCTGTAATGATGCAGCTACACAGAAAGTTAACAGGGAGTCTGCAGACAAGGCAAAGATCCAGGCAGATAATGTTGGGCATAAACTCTTATCAAAAATGGGCTGGAAAGAAGGTTCTCTCTCTCTCGCTCTCGCTCTCGCTCTCACTGCCCCCCTTCTCTGTTTCTTCCCAAGCAGATCCTCATAAAAAATGTTGGAGGTGGCTGTTTGGGTAGTTTTCTGTTCCCTCAAATATATGGACATTGAAAGTAAACAAATGACAACGTGCCATCCCATTTTTTAGCAAATATTTACAATCCCAAAAGAAATTTAGGAGTTAGGCATCATTTGAGTGCTTGATAAATTTTTACAACCCTGGAAGAAGGTATCGTTTGTTGAGGGCCTTTGAGTCTATACTGAGTGCCCATGGAAAGGTAAGATGGTCCTTGGTAAATGTTACAATCCAGTGAGAAAAAAATGCTTGAGGATAGGATTTGATTGTTAGGACTTCTCTAACTGAGCATCTGCTGAAGTAGCAGTTCAAACAAACAAAATATTCTCAGTTATCTAGCTGAAAAATATAATTGTTTCGTAATTCAACTGTCCTACTAATTGAAGTATTGTTGATGTGCTGTTGATTTGTGAATGAACCAGAGCCTGATACCTTTGGGTTTGTTGATTGTAGGTGAGGGTCTAGGGAGCTCCAGAAAGGGTATTGCAGATCCAATAATGGCAGGCAATGTCAAGAAGGACAACTTGGGCGTTGGTGCTGAACGACCTGGAGAGGTGACTCCTGATGATGATATATATGAGCAATACAAGAAGCGGATGATGCTTGGCTACCGTTACAGACCAAATCCTCTGGTACGAGTTCTTGCGACTGATCATCAATTTAACCTACTATTGAAATTCCTTTCGAGAAATATGAAAAAGAAATACAAATTCTACATGGTGTATGTTATAACACCTTTTTGCTTGTACTCTGCAGAACAATCCTCGGAAAGCATATTACTAAGACGAAAATGACAAGATAGCTATGTCTACCGTGTTGAAGGAATAACTTGAAGTTTCTGTCATATTATGTTGAAGGAGACAGGAAACTGATTTTGGTATTTCTTTCATGATGTTTGGAGAAAACATGCATGTCGTTAATCTCTTGTGAAGTTTAGTGATCAATGACACAATTGTTTGTTGTTTCAAGAAGTAATTGATTGAGCATTGCGATTATCTGGTGGCTTCTATTAGCATGTGATATGGTATGAAAACGAAACTGAGAGGTGAAAATTAAGATTAAACCATGGATTCTCAGAGTAGCGGCAGCTGTCATCAAGGACCGCATGTAGGGATATTTTTTATTACCAATAAACTTTATAGTAATACTCAAATTATTTATTTACAAGAAAAAATTATAATAACCAATAATTTGAGTGAAATAAAAAGTATGTGAAAAAATTAAGTATGTACATATAGTTTAGGGATGCTGAAATTATAAATAATTACTAATAATGCATATATATTATTAGTATTTAATATTACAACAAACATATTATTAAAATGACTTTTGTTGTTTAATAATTTGATTAACAAAAAGTAAGACTCCTAAAATAAACTATTTTGGATTATCAACAATGACTCTCATATATATATATATACACATATATAGATATAGAAAACAAAGATGACGTTGGTTAAACAGAAACCAATTATGAGTGAAGTGGCTTAGAGAATCATGGATGCTACTCTGAGCTTAAATTATTCCTAAAGATAGCTGATAATGTTTGAAAATCAAGAGTTCATTGGAATTATTCCAACTAGATAAAAAACGAAAAAGAGTTAGTTGGAACCTATAGAAGCATATACATATATACGCACCATATATATATATATATAGATATTGTTCAATTAATCAAAGACAATATTTATATATTATATTTTTATATAAGATGACATATTATTTAGAATTTTATGTGGAATTAGAACCGTAAATTTTGAATTGAGATTAATTTTATAAAATACGAAAAGAAAAATTATAATTCTCTAATTAAATTAAATATGAAATTACGTATAAAATTTTCAAAAATAAATTCTTGAATATATTCTAAATGTACCCTCAGTTAATTCCAGCATCTAAACAATGTAGTGATTAAGAATATATGATGAATTAGAAAGAGAGAGAGAGATCAGGGAGACATTCTCATGTTCTGTCAATAAACCTACACCAATTTGTATATAAGCAAATCAATATCAGGGTATACATACACTAATACATATACATACATATATATATACTAGTTGTTTTTTAATGGTTGATATTTCTATCCATCTTTAAAAAGATATGGGATTCGAGTAAGATCATAAATAACGTGTTTATTCTTGTTAGTAAACTGATTATGTTATTATTATACAAGTATAACAAAATAATATGTATATTTCTATTAATATATATATATATATAAAATAAACCCAAGAATCTTTTTATGTACATATACAAAGAGAATATTGTAAATGCAGTAAAAAAAGGGCAAGAACAAAATTATGGAGAATGTATCATGGAACATATTCTTGCTAATGACATAAAACAAGACGGTGAGATTTGCTTCACCTTCTCTTGCAAACTAAAGTAGTGTGATATTCACAACTCAATTTATGATGTGTGTACATGTATATATATATATATATAGATATATACCCAAGAAAAGAAGACATGAAAAATAATATTCTTGCTGATGATGCATACGTGTTCGTGTGTATATATATGGATGTATACATTAATATGCATTAATTCTTTTCTTCTCATTCAATATTTTTCTACATTGGGTGACATTGAATTGTCTATTTCCAGGCATGCATCGAATTAACTACTCCAAAAAAACCATTTCTCCTACCCCCCAAAAAATTCCCCTTTATCAATCAAATGTCAAAATAAAAGATCGAATCTTGACATAAGAAAAAAGAATACATACATACATTGGAATCAAATTAATTATTATTTCGCTCAATATTTGATATTTCTTATATATATATATATATATATATATATAAATTCATCGAAATTAAATTATACATAATATTTCTATGTATTTTTTTTATATATAAAATTGTGCTATAATTATTGTATATCTATTACTTAAATTAATTAATTATACAAATTTTCACTTAAAAATTAAAATATAAGTTAAGAGCTTCCAAATTTTTATGGGTATGTTTGGTTTGGTGCATGAGATTAGAATATGCCAACAAAAAAAAAATTATTATATAAAATTTATTAAATTATTTGATTGGTTAAAATCAATATTACTTTATAATTATAATAATTATACCTTACACCCTTCTATTTGTAGTCCTTTAGTTGGTTTTCTTAGTGTGCCGATCTCATGTTGAAAATGACATAAGAACAAATAAAATAATAATTAGGTTTCAAATTCTTTTTGAAGGTTTTATTTTTTGCCTAAGACTTAAATCTTCTTCATGACTTCAATAAAAAAAAAAAAAAAAAAAATTAAAGGAATATTCTTATGACACACTCAAAAGTGTATTTGATTCTTAATTATTAAAAAGTTTAAAGCATTGGAAAAAATTCGTACACATATTTGATTTAATGTATAATGTTATTCTAAAGTATAATTAATTTAATTGGTGATTTAATAAAATTGATAATTAATTTTAAGTTATTAAATTGTTATAAGTTTAATGTGTAAAGACTAAATTATTATTTTTAATTTAATAAGAGATTAAATTTAAAATAACAAAGTATGTGTATTTTTAAAAGGTTACGTCTTCAATTTAAATTAAAAAATATTTTTTTTTTCTTTTTACCTTTAATAAAAAAATTTATAGATTTTAAAATTATTTTAAATTAAAAAAATCAAACCCTAACTATTAAAAATAATTAATTTTATAATTAATCAACATATGTTTTCGCTAATTTTTTTTGTTTTTTTGTTTTGTTTTCGTTGAATTGAATATGAAAGATATTTTTGTGTTCTAAAGATTTGTTTAAATCCAACATAAAGATGTTTTTATTTTATTTATGAATTTTAAAGATGTTATTTAATTCGAGTTTCTTGATTGGATCGATAGAGACATTCTAACTAAATTATAATAAAAAAATATATTAATAAATAAATTTTTAATGGGTATTAAAATTTAAAAACTAAATTTAGTAATTTTTTTTATAAATAAATTGCTTTTCTTTTTGGTTGGGGGAATAAAAAATAATTAGGATGAATAAAATAAATAAATAAATAAATAAATAAAGGGTTTCTTTTTATCTAAATCACCTAACCTCATCTAATGAGAGAATTGCTGCTATACAAAGTGCATGCGCGGAATCTCCTCCAATCACATGGTTGCAAAATGCCACAATTAGGTGGATATATGTGTGTTGTGTATATATATATGTATGTATATGCTGCAAAGATCAGAATTTACTTATAATATTATATATATATATATATATTTATATATATGCTGATAAGATCATAATTTACTTATAATATATTTTTCTTTTCAATAGTGGGTAATTTGTTGAAAAAG